TACCGCAGTTTGCAGCGTCACCACAATAGTTAAACCCCATTTTGTTTAATTTAGTCTCAGCAGGTGACAACAGGCTTCTCTTTGAGCTGACGTCCGCCGTGATGTGGAGAGCTGTGGAGCCTGCCAAGCAGTAGGCTGTTAAATGTTTGCAGCCTTCGTCAGGGAGGTGGATGTTGGGGAGTTTGTAACCACAGCGATCTAAACGGACCCAAGAGATGCAATTAGCTGAAACTATTTTACTGAATGGTCTCCGGACGTCTGAAACCCAGAATCTACCAGAGCTTTGAATACATGTTTATGTTCTGCTTCCGTCAGGCGTTTCCTGGAGACTTTAATAAGATTGTTTAGAGGCAACTCTTGATGCTTTATGTAATATTTAAGAATGCTGTTTATTATAAGGGATACTAAATAATGCACCTAATTTCTTAATATTTAACTAAAAATATTAGCAGAGTCTGCTAAATTCTACTGAAAAAATTATGATTTAAATCCTTTTCTTTCTGTGCAGCTATGCCTCCGATGTGACTTCAGGTTTGAGCGACGGTTACGAAGGCCTGTCGGAGAAGAATGAGAAAACGGCTGCGAGGCGAACAGCAGCTAAGCTGTTCAGGCGGAGGGCGCGCTCCAGGCTTCGCATCACAGGGGTACGTGAAATCAAATCTTTTTTTTTTACAGCTCCAATCGGGCTCCTTTATTAATTTCCTCACTAGATTAACTAATAAATCAACAGTGACTGGATTCATTCGTTAGGGATTCCTTTTTGAGTTTGCGGTTCTTCGTCTCTACTCTGGTTTGTTGTTTGTTTTCCCTTTCTGACCACAAATATTTCATCTCTTCAGAACACTGGGGATGTTTAATGATCTTGTTTTGACCGGGTCTAGTGTCGCACGTAAACCCTCCCTCATATGGTCGGTATGGGAGTTTAACACGTGTAACACGGTAACCTAAACTCAGGTTTAGTATGGAGCCTGGATTTTATCTTTGATGATATTTTGGTTTTGGAAAACACAATCATCTAAAATATTTCCCATTTAATTTGTGATGCTTTTGTAAAGTTATTAGCATATTTATTATTTTTTTTATTTATATAGAAATACTTTGTATTTGATTAACACATCACAATATTTAATTTTAACAACTGCATGGGTTGGTTATCTAGCAAAACTGGAAAAAAAAGTGTTAAACTTCAAAAGTTTCTGCTATTACAGCTTAAACCAGACTAAGTACTGGATTTACATTATTTATTTCTTACTTCCACCTCCCTATCCACTCCTGCACTCTGCTGATCAGCTGGCTGAAAGAGGGCTTCCATGCTTTTCCCTTCTTTTAGTCTAAAAACAAGTTTCCATTTGTTTTGAAGTAGTTTAGGGGGTAAAAAACATTAATATATATCAAATGGAAAGGAGGCCCATCTATCTCTGTAGCACTTTTTTTAAAACTGCTGCAAAAAATATTGTGTAAAGATGCTTAAAAATTCAATTTAGCTTAGTTTTATTTATTTAAAAACAAATCAATAAACAAGTTTTTCATGCTGATACACTATTTATGTTTAAACAGCTTAAAAACTGAAGGCATAACAGTTGCTTTTCTTATTTTACATAAAACAAGTAGATCAGATTACATATTTCTGTTTGGCTTTGCGCACCTGAAGCTTTTCTTTAGGTCCTGTTGAGGATTTTTTGAAAAGCATATCCCAGCAAGCAACAACTGGTTAAAAAGCAATTGAAAAGACGACATGATTTTACGCCAAACAACGTCTACATTTAGTTGAAAAGTGAAAGGTAAAGAGCAGTAAGTTTGAGATAGCTGGAAAGACTTTCTAACGTTTGTTATTGGACTAAAGTGGGACAAAATCAGACCTTTCTGGACATTATTTCTGGACTAAATTAAGACTATGACAGTCCGATCAGATTTAGCCTAAAAACCAACGTTTAATTGACGTCTGGTGTTTGGGGGGGGATAAAACATGAAGAACAGAAACAGTTTGAAACTTAAAAACACCAACAAACATCACTATCTTGTTTTTTTAACAAGTTTGCGAATCACAGGACTATTGAGAATTTTTGTCTGGAAAATGACTAAAACTTCACATAACATCAGCCTAATGCCTCCACATGCTTCCAGTTTCTCTTCATTTAAGGCTATTGCTGCTAATTCCCTGTGTCTCTGCAGCTTTCTGATAAAGTGGACCGGGTCGTGGAGTGTCAGCTGCAGACCCACAATAACAAGATGGTGACCTTTAAGTTTGATCTGGACGGAGATAACCCAGAAGACATGGCTGCTGTCATGGTGAGTCACAAACCAAAGCGAGGGAAAACCTACAGCAAAAGCTGTGAATCACTCCTTCAAAGAGCATCCTTTGTCAACAAAGCAGGTATTGAATTTGTGCAGGGACGTTTTTGCTTTGACTTGAAATTCTAAAATGGAGAATTTTTAAAAATCAGCAAATTTGACTCAAAATCAGTTGTAATTTATGAGATTCTTGTTGGTTAGGAAATTTTAAAAAAGCTGCAGCTGTGCAGAACAATTTTAGAATATCATGCATTATGCACTATTATTATCATGAAGCACATCATGCATCTGTGTCCATCTGTGTCATATAATCTCAGAATAAATCTAGGATTTTGTTAAGGCTTCGTTGGTGAACACAAGGAAACAAACACCACCATAAAGGCCAAAGAGCACAGCAGACAGGGTTCAGTTCAAAAACAATATTCAAAGCAGTAAATAATAGCAGTTCCATCCATAAAGTAAATGGAAATGGAAAGATGATTATGAGAAATCTTCAAACCTGCAAACATATGAGTTTCCATACATGCAAACTGGGCAAAGGGGGCAGTTTTCAGAGAATGAGGAGAGGAGCTGAGAGACTTACGATGTTTTGTTTGCCATATGGGGGCAGAAATATCATATGGAGGAAGGTAATCGGGTCTAATTAAACCAAAATATAATGTTTTTATGTTGGCTGTTCTGTGTTAACCTGACTCCGCCAGATGGATTTGCTCCGCATATCCATCTGGAAACCTTC